CGGGCCGAAGCCCTGGTGCGGGGGCCGCCGCCCGGTGGCTGAGGCGCTTGCGGCGGCGGCGGAAGACCCCGTCGGCGAAGGTATACTCGCTGTTCGGGTTGAGCATCCAGTAGTTGTCCTTACCCCAGGGCCGCGAGGGGTCGCGCAGCACCTTGACGAAGCAGTCGTTGAGCGAGAGGTTGTGGCGCACTGAGTTGCGCCAGCCCGTGTAGCTGCCGCGGAAGAAGGGGAACTTGCCCATGAGGTACTCGTTGATCTCGGCCAGCGTCAGGCGCCCGCCTGCTGAGTCACGGATAGCCATGGCTATGAGCGCGATGTATGAATACGGGGGCTTGGGCCGCCGAGTGTATGGCTTGCTGCGCGCGCCCTCGAGGCCCCCCGCGCTCCCCGCCCCGCCCCGCCCCGTCCCGTCCCGCCCCGTCCGCGGACCGGCGCTAGGGGGCGCGCACGGGCCCGAAGCCAGGACGCTCCCTCCCCGGCCGAGAGGGCTGGCGCGGAGCTCTTAGGCTCGCTGCCCGGGTTCTCTCCAACCAGCTGGCCCGGCGCCTGCGGTCGGGGGGAATGTGGCCTGCGCGCCCCTCGCCCCCAGCCCCCGTGTCTCAGGGCTGGGACCGTGGAAAGCTGCTATCCTGTTGGACAGACTGGCAGCAGGATGTGGACAATCTGCTGCGTCCCACCCCCACCGTCACCCCTCCACCTTCCTAGCCCTACCCCTGGCAAATAGCTTGGCTTCTAGAGTGTAAAAGCAGAGCAGAAAAAGCCTTTTGTGCGGCGCCTGGGTGGCTCAGTTGCTAAGCATCTGCCTTCGGCTCAGATCATGATCCCAGGGTCCTGGGATCCAGCCCCGAATTGGGCTTCCTGCTCAGCGGGGAGCCTGCTTCTCTCTCTCCCGCTCCCACTGCTTGTGTTCTCTCTCTCTGCGTCAAATAAATAAATAAAATCTTAAAAAAGAAAAAGCCTTTTGTGAGCTCCGAAAGGACACGGCCTGAACTCTAAAGGTTTTCATGCTCCGCTCATTTGCGTGACCCTGTTCAGCCTGTCACGGAGGGATGACTGCAGTTCTGGGCTTGAAATCGGCCTTGCCCTAAAATCCTGCAGTTCTTTTTGGCCCCATGATATGCAGAGTCATTGTAAAGAGGTGTGTGGCAGAGGCCTAAATTCAAGACATCAGCATATGCAGAGCACAAGCTCCATCGGAGCCTTCTCTGCAATTTCCATCTTGAATGTTCCAGCCACAAAGCTGGCCTGCTTGTGCTAATGCACTAAGCGTAAGACGTGCATTTAAGACATTTTGCCTGTACGGTCCTGTCAGGCTCCCAGTTCTGTGAGTCTATTCTATCAGCTGATGGCTCTATCACAGTGGAAACTGTTCCGTATCTTGTTTTACTTTGTTTTAGGACTACCACCTTTTGCACCTAAATGAAGAATAAACTCATTCATTTCTTCATTGCTGTCTCGAGTTAAACAGAAAGATCAAGGTGTCCTTTCAGTTTCTGAGGTCACAAATCTGGGCATAAATGACAGAACAAAGACACTGGCTTTACTGTGGGGTTATTATTTGTCCATTTAAAGTTCTTGCAGTTCTTGGTATGAGCTTTCAGGATTCACTTCTTGCCAAAAGTAACCAAAGATCTAAGACCTATAAATCAGTCCTCTACACTAAAGCTAGTTGCTACCCCTGTGTTTCACATTTTCACTCATTGTGAAGAGTTTCTCAATTCCTCTTTGTCACTTTTTTCTAATATCTATATTTTTTTATTTTAATTCCAGTGTAATTAACATATAGTGTTAATATTAGTTTCAGGTGTACAATATAGAATTCAACAATTCTATACATTGCTCAGTGCTCATCACGGTAAGTGTGCTCTTGTCACTTTTTGTTTTAACCAATGGGTGCGGAATGAAATTAGAAGTGATTAGATGTCTGTGAAGAAAAGAGGAGGTTGGACTATAGAATCATCAAAATTTACATTTGGAAGACCATTCGAGACCATTAGGACACACTCCACACTCAGCCCAATTATTCTATTTCTTGAGATGTTTTTTTTTTTTAAGATTTTATTTTTGTTTATTTATTTGACAGAGAGACAGTGAGAGAGGGAACACAAGCAGGGGCAGAGGGAGAGGGAGGCTTCCCGCTGAGCATGGAGCCCGATGCGGGGCTCGATCCCAGAGTCCTGGGATCATGACCTGAGCCGAAGGCAGACGCTTAACGACCGAGCTGCCCAGGCACGCCCCTTTCTTGAGATTCTTGAGATTCGGTTCATGCTAAAACTTCAGGCCCATGAGGTTCAGTGCATGTGTTCTGGTTTGGTTTTGTATTGTGTTGACAGCCTTTTAGAAAGTTTTTCTGTGGGGCGCCTGGGTGGCTCAGTTGGTTGAGCGACTGCCTTCGGCTCAGGTCATGACCCTGGAGTCCTGGGATCGAGTCCCGCGTCGGGCTCCCTGCTCGGCAGGGAGTCTGCTTCTCCTTCTGACCCTCCCCCCTCTCATGTGCTCTCTCTCTCAAATAAATAAATAAATAAAAATTAAAAAAAAAAAGTTTTTCTGTATAATGAACACAAACCTATCTTTTTCTTTTTTCTTTTTTTTAAGATTTTATTTATTTACTTGAGAGACAGAGCACAGAGGGAGAGGGAGAAGCAGACCCCTGCTGAGCAGGGAGCCTGATGCAGTGCTCAATCCAAGGACCCCAGGATCATGACCCAAGGGGAAGGCAGATGCTTCACTGCCTGGGCCACCCAGGCGCCCCAAACCTGTCTCTTTCTCTTCCAGCCAAATGCCGTCATCTGTGCTGAAACAACACAGGGCAAGTCCTACTCTTGAGCCATGCAACAGCCCAGGGAACTGTGTTGTGTGTGCATGGTCATGTCATGCTTCGTAGGAATGGGAATAGGGTGAAGATGGTGTGCATATGGGTGGGAAGCAGCCATGGTTCCATCTCTATACTGCTCTGGGTCCCACCTTGTCCTGGTGTGTCAAGCTTAAAAACAGTTTGGGAAGCACCTGGCACCCCTCATCTTTCTCATCTTTGCTGCCATTCAAATTGATCACCTTTGACTATTGACTACAAAGTGTCCACTATTCTTTTGTATGATGTGCCTTTTTAACAAGCTTTTATCATCTCGTTTCTTTCCCTCCAGTGTATTTCCACTATTATTTCTCTGCCGTATTCTTTTCTGACTGATATGCCTATTTCTAAACCAGTTTACTATTCAGAAAACACAAAAAGTCATGAACCAGGACATTCCCTATGGAGTTTCCTAAAATTCAAAATTGCACAAATTTTGGTTTTGTACTTTATTTCGAGCCTTGTTTGAGAGTCTCTTTGTGTCTTCCTCCTGGTAGGTACTCACTAGATTCATTGATTCTTTTTTTTTTTTTTCCCCAGACAAAACCCTGAGTCACTTTTGACACACAGAAAAGTATAGTATTGTGACTCTGAAGACTCAAGCAGTTTCTAATTTTTCAATAGGTTGGTTATAAATTTCATTGTTTGGAAGCAAAAGCTCATTGTTTGTTTTAAAGAAAGAACTATGAAGAATGGTTTGGTGTTTTAGACCAGCCCCTGAATGTTTATCTAACAGATTATATAGCTTTCCCTATTGTACTTAAAAAAAATCCATAAACCCAGGGGTGCCTGGGTGGCTCAGTCAGTTGAGTGGCTGACTCTTGATTTCCACTCAGGTCATGATCCCAGGGTCCTGGGATCGAGCCCCGGGGCAGGCTTCACGCTCAGCGGAGAGCCTGCTTGTGGATTCTCTCTCTCCCTCTGCCCCTCCCCTTGCTCATGTGGGCTCACTCTCTCTGTCTCTCTCTAAAATAAATAAATAAATCTTTAAAAAAAAAAAATCCATAAACCCAGATCACCATTGCAACATAGTTTCCAGAGGAAATAAATTCGGAATTCCAACTTAGAACTCCAAGAAAGACTTTCTCTCTCTCTGCTGCATCACCAGACCATTTAAGCCCAGAATCTCTAGGGGTAGCTCTGGGAGTGAGTTTTCCAAAGCTTCTAATGTATAATCAGGATGGGAACCACAGCTCTGACTGGTTGAGATGCATATATATGCATATAAATTGTTAATTTAGTAAAGCAGATGGTGTGCATTATAGAGAGAAAGAATATTAATCTCTTGGTTGAAAACTTCGAAAAAAGAAATATTCTTTTACTGTAGAGACTATAGCCCACAATTTCAACTTCAAAGGGGTTGAAAATACCTTAAGGGATCCATAAATTAAGACCTGGATGACAGCACTATTAGCTCCTTTGCCCACTGAAAAAGACTAGGGTCGTCACGCCTGTGGATTTGATTCATTTCTTTTACTTTTATCCTTTGTCCGTTGTATAAGGTTGGACAACCTAAACTCTTTTCTTTTTCTTCCCTGGCACCTACGGCATAATTGCCAAAAAGTTCTGTTTTAGAGCCCACAAATGCCTGACCAAAAGATGAAAATGTTAACTTCCTTTAGTCCCTAAAGAATATTATGTGATGAGTCAAGCATTTATTTTAAAATGTCTTCTGTCGTAAGCATTTCAAAACCTGTTTAGTCAGAAGAAACCTGAGTATAGTACAGACAACAACGTAATTCAACATAAGAATATCTAGAAAATGAAAACAGGCTGAATAGAGATTTTTTAAAATCTCTAAATAAATGGCCTGTTTCACTTTAAGATTATAGAGTCCCAAATAACCTTTGCAGTTAATCTGCAAACCCATTTACAGAGTACCTTTCCACTGATAAATGTTTCCTTATTTTCTTTAGGATTCAGTTCACTGAAATTTTTATTTAATTATTCGTGACAATCTACCCTTAATTTGAATATAAGGTGAATACAGCTAGAAAGTTACTTCTCCAAACTATTCAGAGTAACATCTTAATTAACAATAATCTGGTCTTTACAAAAAAACTGTAGATTTTTTCCAAAATGAAAATGCTAATTTATCTATAAATTAATAAATCTGACATGGAGACAGCTAACGTCCTGAAATATATTCTGAATCTTTCCACTTTTGAGACCTAAACCACTGAGATTAGCATTGGAAGTTATTTCTTTGGCATTATTATGGTTATTGAGAAAAAATAGAGGACCCCCCCCCCTAGGGTTGTTCAGTAGGAGTGAAACCAGCTTAGCCGACTAAACGGGAGATTTGCAGAAATTCTTGAGATTCAACTCACCTGCCAAACAACACAGGTGTGCCTCTTAACAACTCAAGGATTTTCTAGGCATCAAATTTGGTTTCAGTATACATTAGCTTCTTCCTAGATTCCAGTGAGGTGGGTGCTGCTAATCAGGTGGGAAGAAACTGAAGTCCTGATAAATATAGTATTAACTAAAAAAACAACTACCCAGGAGCCAAATAATGTTACACCATGTTAGAGAAGACATTAATGCCGATACTAAGAGAGTAAAATAGCATATCTGTGTTGTTTTTCCTTCCATTTTCCCTAAGACTCTGTTTATCTTAATGCTCTACACTAATTCCATGATATTTATAATCTCCTTAGTATGAAAGCTACAGAGTGATAGGAGTATTATGGGAATGAACACTCGTGCTCATCATTGCATCATTAATCATCTGCTTGTGTGTATATATGTATATATATATAATTTTTCTGCAAATTATGAGGAAACTGTTTTTATTTTGGCACTTGGTATCCTCTGAGGCTGTACTGTATCAGAATGTTTCAATGGGGGACGCCTGGGCGGCTCAGTTGTTGAAGTGTCTGCCTTTGGCTCAGGTGCTGATCCCAGGGTCCTGGGATCGAG